CAATGATATATTTGTGGCACTTACAAGTCAGGCTCCTTGTTTGAAATTTGTTTTGTTTTATAACCCCCATAATTCTGACTGTTGCTTTTCTTGTTATTATTATCATTTATCAAGCTAGATAGAAGCATGCATTTTAAAGTATGTATCTTATGAAAATATTGTTTAATCATAATAGGCTTTCTAGTATCTTTGGTAACATTTCATATGCATAATATGGGAAGATGAAATGATAATTTACCAATGTAACAAGTGTCAATTTTATCTCTTTAGAAATATCCCTAAATTTTACTCAAATATTGATTTGTTCTAGTATGTTAGCATTTCAGTTCCCTACGGCTTTTTCTTTCATTTGTTAGACTTTCTTCATCCTCTGTCTTTGAGTTCAGTCAGATATTTGTGTATAGGAAAGCTGTACTAGTACTCAAATAATTCATATTTATTGCTAGGATTATACTTTCAATTTAAGCACTTGATAATTCATATTTTTTTACTTCCTGGGGACATTACATGAGTGATCAAGGATGACATAACTTTATAGGTTATAAGGATATTTAAAAACACAATTTTAAATAATTTTGTCCAGTGCTTCACTTTCATTTCTGCTTTCTGTATTTGATAGTAAGTTTGGTGTATAGTCAGTGTTTCTCATACCTCCGTTTTATTGCACAGTGATTGGGCATACATTTCCTGATGTGCATTAAGGGTTGCAAGAACTTCAAGTATTTTCATAAACTGATATTTCATTAATTGGTGATAGAAATAGTGAAACATTGAAAAAGCTCTTAAAGAAATGTACATATGCAAATAACTAGCTAGAGTGTCAGTGAGCTAGCTCAGCAGACTAAGTACGTGTTTAGGCAAGCGCAGGGACCAGGGTCTACTCCCGGCACAACTTGCCTTGCTGGCCCCACTCCCCATACTGCATCCTGTGCTGGCCACCAAGAACACACGTGGTGGCACACACGTGTAATCCCAGGGATGGGGAGACTGAGACAGGAGGATCACTAGGAGTCTGAACTGTGTAGTGAGACTTGTACCAAATGCATTAAAAAAAAAAAAAACTAATGAAGTAAAAAAATTTCAATAGAAACACATAAAGACTATGAGAGCATTGCATGTGTTTGTATAGGTAAATATTTATATATTTAACATACAAATATATGCATATATAAATGAATGTGAGTATCTGTGAAAAAAAAGCATGAAATATAAATTAGAATCACTGTAGACACACTTTCTGATATAAAATTTCATTGATACATGATGAGAGAACCTATTTTCTAAAAGGTATCAAAAATAAATAAAAAGCAATTATGACAGACGTCTGTCCCCTGAATTTTTTTTTTCATTTATGTCTTTTGTACAGGGTCTCACCATGAAGCTCAGACTCATAGTGATCCTCCTGTTTTCAGCCTTCTCAGCATTGGCATTACAGGCATGTGCTACCATGTCCAGACTCAGTTGCCGGCTCAGTGGGCTCCAGGGGTGGGGACAGTGTGGCATGCTGAAATGTTTTCTTATATGCACAATTTTAGGAACATTAGGATTACTATATTTGGGGATTTAAAGATACATCCGTTCATTTTATTTTTCTTCAGCTTCACAGTGATTCTTTGAAATACAAGAAAATGATCACTGAGAATATTTTGTCTTATCTTAGATAATATTTTGGTCCCCGAGAAAGTCTGAATGCAAGCACCCTAAAGCCATCTTTGTTGTCTGAAGATAATTTGAGACACTGATCCATGTGCTGAACTTAATCTCTGGGCACACTTTCCCCTACTCTAGGTTTTGAATAAAATTTATTTGCAATTATTAGACCTTGACAGATTTTTACGTGGAAGATTCATAAGAAAATTTAAAATCAGATAGGCTACAACCTAGGCCCACATTCTACAAGACAGTAATCTGGTGGCACTACATTTGACTTGTCATTCCTTTGTGGGGACGTTTGCCCTGCTCCTGTTGGCACATGGCGCCTCTAGGAATCTGTACTTCCACCACAAGTTTACAGTCTAGTAAGGGTTCTCCTTCTACTCCATTTATAAAGGAGACTATAGAAGAAAAGGAGGGAAAGACTCGCTACCTATTACGTGAGAACACTCAACCTTGAAGTCATCCAGCTAGTACTCTCTCTGCCTAAGACTGAAAGGCACTGTATTGTCTGAGACTTCGACATGTCCTTATTGTCCATAATTTAGAAGGAAAAGGGCTCATAATAAAACCAGAGAGAATTAAAAGACCAGATGAAGCTTGTGCCACTAAATGAAAATAAAGCATTGAGACCAACTAGGGTTATTTGCTCAAGCCAAGTTAGAAACAAAAAGTAAACGGTTTAAGAAAAACCTAAAGGAGTCAGCCAAGTAGCTCAGTGGATTAAAGCACCTGCTGAGGCAGACTGGGTGGCCAGAATTCAACTCCCGGTGTGCTGTGCCAGCCCTGCCCCCAGGGAGCACTGAGATTGTGATTAAGACTGGGAGTGGTGGTATGCCTGTCATCCCAGCTCTTGTGAGGCTGAACACAGTTGGATCGCTGCAAGTCTGATCTACCTAGTGAGACCCTATAGAACCTGTACTAACAAATACAAACAAACAAGCAAAAGGAAAAAGAAAACCTATACCTGTAATCCCAGCGCTTGGGAGACTGAAAACTGGAGGATCACTACTAGTTGGAGCTGTGTAGTGAGATCCTCTTCTGAATACATTTTTTTTTAAAAAAGTTACTTTGGTTTCCAAGAAGTTTTCCATCAGTGGCTATTTATTACGATCATTAAGCAGGGAGGAAATGTGTAACAAACAGTTGTTTTCCTGGTAGCTGCCCTTCAACATTTTCTCTTTCTAGTTCTTGAAAACATTGTGTTCCAGTTTGGTTTGAGGCAAACGTTACCTCACACTTTCTTCTTTCCCAGACTTGTTGAAATTAGAAGAATGACAGAAGCTATCCATCTAGAGAAACATGCGTGACGTTACACACATCCCTGTGTGTACTTTTGGGCTTATAAATACTTTCATGTTCTGAGTATTAGAAGCTCATCATAATTTTTGCATTTGATTATTCTTGTCTTCCATTGCTGCGCTTGCCAGTGCACGTGCTATTTAGAAGTAGTGCAGTTTTTCCTTTACTTTGTGGTTTGTCCATTTGTTTTTATTCCCGTTTCCCCTTCTCTTGTTTTTGTCCTTTCTCTCTGTCTTTTCGGGCTGTCCATCTGAATGCATGATTGTGCTCGGCCAGCCGTGAGGCAGGCACTGGGAAACCAAAAGTTGATACCTAATTCAGAATTTAAGCTTCTGGGAGCATTAAATTACTGAGAACTGCAAGAAAAGATGATGAAGACAACAAGAAATATGAAGCACTGATTATTTGTGGCCTTAAACATTGATCCGACATGAGTAGGTAGACACACACACACACACACACACACACACACACCAGACACACAGTAGCACAGCCTGACAAAATAGAGGATGAGACTGACCATGAGAGAGGCTAGAAACCGCCACACTTGAAGAGTCCTCTAGACTTGCGATCTTTTGTTAAACAGCAGGCACTTTTAGAATTTCCATATTCATCAGTACAGAAGGAAGATTGTAAAAGAGAAAGAATGATATATTTTATATCTCCAAAGTCTCTTCTTGTAAAAAGGATTTTGTCATTAAAGTTACCAGCATTATGTTCTAACCTGTTCGTACCCAACTTGTTCAAAACATAATTTGGGAGGTCATTCTCATCTACTGTTAAGTGCTAATGGTTTGTTTAGTTATTTGTTTTTAATGGTCATGGGACTATGTTAGATTGTAGAAGAATAAATATATATCCGGATGCATTACATTGACACATGCCATAATGGCCAGGTAATGGTTAAGTTGTTTAACCAATAACAAGGCATAGATGTGGGCTAATCAGAACAGATGTTGGGGGCCGGCCAGAGAGTTCAGTGGGGTGTGCTTAGATGGTGACTGAGACTGGGTATGGTGGCACACACCTGTAATCTCAGTGCTTGGGAGGCTGAAAACAGAAGAATCACTAAGAGTCTGATCTATGTAGTTAGGCCGTATAGAACCTGTACCAAATACATAAAAAAGAACAGACATTGGCCAAGAAGAACTTAAGAATTGGAGTGCCAGGTATGCTTTGGTGTGTGGCAGTTGTATGCACAATGGTGGAGGGCAACTAATGGAATTGCCTATTGATGAGGAAGTTTAGGTTGGTAATAGTCATTTGAGTACATGTTTTAAACTTGTAGAGTTCCCTTTGTTTACTACATATGATGGGTTTTTTTTAAAATTATTCGTTGCATAGTTTATATGAGTAACATGAGATTACTTATGTTGATTACTTCAATTGTTAGCGTATTTGTGATATTAAGTACATCATATAAAGTCCTTGATTTATGTGGTAGATTAATTCCCTATCCTTAGGTAAAATATCACATGAAGTTTAGACATTAACCTAAGGTACTGTTGAAATTAGAAATAGTTTCATAAATAATAGAGGTACATTTTCTTTTTGCAACTCTTTTTCAACATATGGATTGATAAGAAAAATGCTAGGTGAGTCTGATTGCCTATGGAGTCTCCTCATGGCAAAAGGTAGAATTTTCCAGGCCTAAATGAAAATGATTTTCAGTGTTTTGTGTAATGGAAAAGAGAAAGCTTCTATGCAGCTTTTCTGTGTTTAGTGTTTGTTAGTTTATGTAACTATATTATCCTTAGTAATGAAATCAGAGACATATATACATATTGTACTTATTAACTATGCTGTAGCTTGTGTTTATATTAAATTACTCAAGAATGAAAGTAGTATTAGTCACATTGTTCTTGGTTTTTGGAGAAGAAAGTAATAGTATCAGTGCAAAGAGATTAAATTAGAAACTTTAATCCTCTAGTTTTCCTCCATGCTGCGATGTATAGGCACACAATGAAAGAGTAAGTGGAGGCCACAATGGAAGACTTCGTGAACATGGTGATGGTGAATTCCATCTTCTGCCTTCTTGTTTTTAGTACCAGGGCAGCCATTAAACTTCAAAGCAGAACCTGAGTCTGAAACAAGTATTTTGCTTTCTTGGACACCTCCGCGTTCTGACACGATCGCCAGCTATGAACTGGTCTACAAAGAGGGCGAACATGGAGAGGAGGTAAGAGCATACCGCTCACCTGTGTTGGCATCCACCACATGGGACCATTGCTTTGTATTAATGAACTTACCACTTTCTTGCTCTGACTCTCCAGAGAAACATTGTTGAAAATTGATATTCATCAAAGGAGGAATAGCACCCTCCTCAAAACTTAATAAAACAAACAACAAAAAACAAAACAGAATGGTATATGGAGACTTTAGGAAGAAGTAAAACAAAATTATTGGTCCATTGGTGCACCTTGCTAAGTTTCAGGTGATAGAACCTTTAAAGTGGAAAGGAATAGATGCGCCAACACTTGGGGATTCCTCTGTTGTTTTATACACTTAAGTTGCTGTGTTGATACATGACTGAGTGAGCTCTGTGCCCTTTTAGAAGTCGTTGGCAAGTGAATTTGTCTACAGTGGTTTTAGAGGAAGATGCAGATAGCAAATATTTATTGACATGCGGTAGTGGGTGAGAATGGGAATCTACATTAAGAGATAGTACTTTAAGGAAATTAACACAATTATAGAAGGAAGGGAAATGGAAGCCATCATAAGGAATATGCACACACCAGGGCACTATTGTCACAGTCTCACATTCATGGATTTATTTAATTCTTAGAAATGTGAGGAGGTAGACCCTGGTATCATGCAATTCCCCAAAATGTATGAAAAGTTCAGTAATTTGCCCAGTCTGCTGCTACTGATTGGCAGAGGGGTACTGAAACCTATAGTTTCTACAGTCTATTCTTCTTATCCATTATGATTTTATCTTTCTTGAGTTATATTTTGACTAAATGACTAAAGTCAATTTTAAGATATTAAACATTATCACAATAAGAATATAGAAATGTAGATCATATTTATTTCATTATTGTAGAATCCAGTAGGCAGCAATAGTATCAAAAGCATTATTGAAACTAAATTTGAAAATTCAGTCCATTCTAGTCATTTTATTATACCTCTTACAATTCTGTTTTGTTTTGTTTTGTTTTGGCAGAACAGGGATTGAACTCAGGCCCTTGTGCTTGCTAGGCAAGTGCTTAGTCTACTGAGCCATCTCCCCAACCCCTCTTACAATTCTTTATGTAAATAAAACTTTGAAAACCAGAATAATCTTTTTGTCCTAATAAGCAGTACCGTCTTAATTTAACACTCATCCATTAACTAAGCTAGCTCATGGTGCATCACTTTGAATGGTATAATAAATTAATAGGTCCCTATAAATGTCTGTTTTATCTTTTTTCATAGAGCAAAATCTTAGAAGGGAAAGTTTTAAATGAAATGCTTTAGAATTAGCTAATAAATTCAATATAAATTATGTCTTTGAAATTACATAACTGAACTGAAGTCATCTCAACTGGTACAACTTGAGCTCTCTATGCTTTCTGTATACCATAAGCTGTCATTAGACCATCAAATTAAAGCAAGTAAACACAGTGAAGAAGAGTGACAAACTCTTAAGTCCTGGGAGTCCCGGAAGGTTGGGGCATTCACTGTGCTTTGAAATTATTTATCCAGATAATTATTTTCTTAATTTTATAAATTTAAAACTTTGAGAACTTTTTATTTGCAACCCAGAATTACTCTTGAGGTGTTTTCTTTAGCTTTGTATTTGAATTCTCCCTGTTTTGTTAATGTGAACACAACACCATTAGCTAAAAAGCCTTATGAATATTTACACCATCATTAGATATCATAGTTGCTTGCATTTTAAGATTTACTGTAGGCTAATGCTCAGTGCAAGACTGCTTAGTCATAGACAGCTATATGTTTACTAACATGCAAGCAGAACATTTCAAACATGTATCAATTACAGCATTTGATAAAACGAATCATATTCCAGAAGTCTTCTGTATTGTAAAAGTTACAGAAGTTTGTGAATTTATTATTCGATAGTACGTTTCACAAGGAGAAGATATTCTCAATTTAGCTTAAAAGAAACTAGGCTAACGGTCTGAACGTATAGAAACTTTTCCACTTTTCTCACTGACTGACATCAGATTTTTACCTGTTAGAACGTGGCCATTTCAGGTCACAGAGACAGCTCAGCGGTCTGAGTGCCTTCCTAGGCAGGTTCAAGGACCCAGGTTGCATCCTCTGTACCGCATGCCTGCCTGCCTACAACTCCAGCACTGGGGAGGCCGACACAGGAGGATCACTGTGATTCCAAGCTGCGTAGTGAGGCCCTGAACCAAATGCATAAAATTTAAAAAGAAAAACAAGACCAGAACTTGGCCATTTTGTATCTCTTTTATTGCAACCTTTTGGGGACTGTATGATAATTACTGTTGTTTCTTCCAGGCATATTTTTCTTGCCCCTGACCAGATTGCATAAAGTCATGACAGGTGAACTAGACATCTGTTGAAATAGATTTTTCTCAGGTTCGGCCGATTCTAGTATCAGGGGCAGGTGTCACTTTCTATTTGTTTTCTGTCATTGCAACATACGCACCTTTAGGGTAGAAAGCACTCCTCAGCGTATACCTCTTGTCTGATCCATGTGTATAGCTTTGTGAGCATCAGAATTTCTCTCTTCCCTTATTCCCAACTATCCTCTCCTCTCTAGAAAGTTCTTAAACTGGGATAGTTCGATTATGTAATTCCCCTAGTACAGTTTTTGGTCTCACTGTTGATTCTCTTGTGATATTTGTGGTATTTTGGTAACTTTATAACAGAAATCTTACAGTATGCAGTATGATTTAAACTATTTTCCTGAATCTCAGTGAAGATTACCACATTCTCTGTTACAGCAGCGTATTACTGTTGAGCCAGGGACATCGTACAGGCTGCAGGGGCTGACACCGAACAGCCTGTACTACTTCCGTCTGGCTGCCCGCTCTCCACAAGGCCTGGGCGCTTCTACGGCAGAAATATCAGCCCGAACCATGCAGTCAAGTAGGTGTCTCTCTTTGCTCGCTTTCTGCCCTTCCTTAGTAGCTTGGAGATGTTTCCACACTCATCTCCACGAACAAGCCCACGGACAAGCTAACTAGCCCGTAATCTGTGTGCTAGCAAGTGTCTCACTTGGAGAATCAGAGCACACCAGAATCTGTGCTGTTCACATGTGCGGTCCAAATACCAAAGCCCATTTCTCCATTTCCTACACCAGCAGTCTTTCAGAGAAGTCAGTAGACCCTCATAGGTGAGAAGTATGAGAAAGTGATCCCCCTGGACTCCCGCAAACAAATTCTATGGCTAGCGGCTAGCGGGCAAAATTCACTGAAAAGGCTACAGTGTAGTATGAGAAGGGAAATGAAGACACAGCAAAAGACAAGACTTTAATTGGTTAAAAGCGTTTCGGCCTTAATTTTGCTACAAACAAGTCTTTGTTTCACATATTTGTCCCTACTCACAGGAAAGGGCTTAGTTCTTTTTTACTAACTCTGCAAGTAGTACATTTGGAAGTAAGGAACATTCACAGGAAATCTGTATTTGGACAATTTTAAGAATAACGCAGTCATCACAAGCATATTTGCAGTTCTAAATTTTATTCTTTCCCCTCACATTTGACCTTTTTGGGAACTTTGCCCTTAAGTATAATTGAGTTTGCTGTATGGTTTATGCCCAGAACACGTTTTTTTAAATATAGTATATTATATAGGAATTCAGTTTTGAGGGGCAGTGTGGATAACTTACAATAAATATTATTCTTCACTGTTTAATAATAAATAAAGTCTACAGACAGCTATTTACCTGGAGAGCTTTACATCTTCAGTATTTTGGGGTATTTGTGCTTTGGACACAGCAATATATTCAGCAGATATACGTACTGTGGATGTGTTCAATTTTCTCAAGAGGTTCCTCTGTGGACTTCATACTTAGATCTAGCAATGAAAAAAAAAAAATAGATGTAGCAACAAACGTGAAATTTATATTTTTGAAAGATTACATTCCTTTCACACATATGATCTTTTCAACATTTCATTTTCTATAGAAAGTTTAAAGCAAATGTACAGAAAATTATGCTTAAGGGCAAAGTTCCCAAAAAGGTCGAATGTGAGGAGAAAGAATAAAGTACAGCTTTTGATGATAAAATTTATATTCTGTTATAATTGAAACATGATTATTCATGTGAAATTAGGATGCTGTTACCCAGTCCATCAGCGAATACAGCTTTTTCGCATCAAAGTTCCTTTCATGTAAAAAATTGAAGCATGTGTATTGCTGTGTTTTCTGTACATTGGCTTTAAATTCCAGGCAGGCTGATGGATACGACTATGGAAGATGATTCTTCTAAAATAAGACATTTAATTAAATATTACGTGCTTTAATAGTATATTTTATCTGGTTTACAAACTTTATTTTAAAAATAAATACATGCCTAAGTATATAATGGATGTTTTGTAGTCACATCAATAAAAGTGAAAATTTCAGTGTTGAATATTTCCTCCTAGAACAGGAAGTCTGAAGGCAGTGATCTAGTAAAAATATAATTAGCGTTTTAAATAAAAATTACAAATGATTTCTTGCCATCGTATGGACAGCTTGACTTATGAATAAATGTTATAGTTTTATAATTCAAGATGTAAGAACCTCTAGTTAGAATCAATAACAAATAATAATCTGGTGATTTTGCAAACCTTATTTCAAATTTATAAGGCTTTCCTGTAAGGATCTTTTGTTTTGTCAGTGCAAGGCATCTTCTTGTTTCGGTTGACTGTAATGATGAGCTGAGGGCCTGTAGGCTAGGAGAGACACAGTGGGGTGCCACTCTTGGCCCTTCGTAGTTAATAGGAAGGCTTCCACAGTCTCCATGTGCAGGAACGAGTGACCATGTGCACGATGCTGTGGAGGCTGAGGTGATGTCGTTTGAGTCCAGGATTGGAGAGCTGCCTGGGCAGCACGGTGAGAATTCCATAGCAAAGGAAAAAGCAAAAAAACCCGAACAAACTGCAATTATAGTGTAAGGAAATCCTCAAGTGATATTCAGATATAAAATTTAGAATCATTTCCTTAATGCTATCATATACATCAGTTTAAATATATATATATTCCTCTTGTTTGTTCTTTTTTAGGAATATATACTATTAACTTTAAAGGAAGTCATGATACCAGTTGTGTTGTTCTTTCAGGTGTTTTAATTTTCTCAAGTAATGATATAGTTGGTTAATTTGATGGAAAGTAATTGGGCAGACTAATATCTAACGGGCACTCTGAAAGTTTATCTTTCAATTCTTATGTAAGCTCACTTTGCATCCCTAGTTATGCACCAAACAAAAGCTTTTGCACAGAACTTATACCTTCTCTTGGTTCTTCAGTTCTCTTTGAAAATACCTTGTTAATGGCTGTGTTGACATTTTGTAAGGGAGAGATAATTATTACTCATTTTACCAAAATTTGCTGGTGGGATCTAATTCTTTAGCATTGGTGTCTCAAGAAGAGTTATAATAAAAATGCTGAAAGCTGACAGAGGGTAAGTACGTGTCACAGTCAAAATCAGCAAGCCTGACCTTGCCCTCGGGTAGGTAAACCTCGGAATATGCATTCCATCCTTCCTTGGCTGCATGCTCGCTGTATTTGGACTATAGTCAATGTTAGGGCAGCATCCGTGCTTCAGGCAGACGGTGTCAGATAGCGTGTACCCGTCTGTGTTTGGTGGGCTTTCATTTATTTATTTATTTATTTATTTTTAAGTTAGACGTGGCGCAGGGGCATGTAGCCATCATCGTAGCTTTTCACGGTCAACGATTCTGTGGCTGCATCGCCCTCATTCTAGAATGCAGAAATGGACAGTTAAAATGCATCTGTGACCCATCATCAGAATCTTGAATTTACGACAAAAACTAGCCTAACCTGTAGCCTTGCGGCCCGGACAGTCAGTATAGCGGGGTGGGGCAATGCTGAGGGATTGTTTTAGCAGAAGAGTTTAAATTGCAGGTAGGTAACTTTATTTGAGGCTCGATTATCTCAAAGTTTCATTTTCACACATCCCCCCCACCCATTATTTAACAATTATTTTTGGTCACTTGTTCATTCCTTTGTTTTATTCATGCTACTAAGCCAAGGTACATAAGTGTGTCTTTAAAATTTTAAGTTTCTAAGCCTTATTTTGATTTCGTTGCCCGTGTTGTTCGTTTATTTATTTTTGCCTTTTCTTTTGTTTTATCATTTTTTTTTCCAACCACTCCTGTCCTTTCACTCAAATCCTCCTTTAACTCACTACCAAAATAAGAGCCGTCAGCTCCTCCTCAAGACATTAGTTGTACCAGCCCAAGTTCCACTAGTATTTTGGTAAGTTGGCAGCCTCCACCCGTGGAAAAGCAGAATGGCATTATTACCGAGTACTCCATCAAGTACGCGGCGGTGGACGGGGAAGACGACAAGCCTCACGAGGTTTTGGGAATTCCTTCGGACACTACCAAATACCTTTTGGAACAGCTGGAAAAATGGACTGAATACCGGATCACTGTGACTGCCCACACAGATGTCGGCCCTGGCCCTGAGAGCTTGTCCGTGTTGATTCGAACCGATGAAGATGGTATGTTGCCTCCGCTTCGTCAGTTTGCACCCTTCTGCCAATCTCGGTCTGCTGTCTTTTGATAGGCTAAACGTTGTCCACCTTTCTCTGCTCATCTTCTTCTTGTCCAGCATTGCTGTTGTTTCTTCGGTATTTTTGCCAAAAGCCTGTCTTGCTACGTCCTGAGCACGTTTTGTTCCCGGTCTCAAGGCCGTGATTTTCTTGCCTTTGAAAGGACACTCCTGTGGTCTCGCAGCCCAGCTCTTCTCTGTAGAGCCAGCTAAAGTCTTCTGTGTTTTTCTTGGCTTTTTATGTTCACTTCTTATACAGTTTGAAGTTACCTTTCAAAACTGCCTTCTTTTCTTCTTGTTGCCTTTTTGTCTTGCATATTTCAAAGACACTGATGCTCAACATTTCGATTTTTGGCATCTGTTGTATGGAATACCTTTGATAAGAGGAAAAAAGAAGACAATGCATATAATCAAGAATCTTTTTATTCTGCTATTTAAAAAGAAACATTTAAAAACATGCGACAATCAACGATCCGTTTTTGTTATTATTTCAATGCGATACCTCTTTGTGCTTTAATGCTTTGGGCCTCAAAGCATCTTCCTTGGCTTTTGTACATTTTTTTTACATGTTTTTCTATTTCTCTGATACTCTTTTTTTCTTCCATTTTGTTTTTTTGCATTGGTCATGTTTTTTGATCTTTTCTTAAAAGGTAGAGCAGATTGGTTGCGCATTTTCATTGGTTGAAAATGTTTGTGTTCCTCAGAGGAGACGTAGTGGGTCTACCCATTTTTAACTAGAGAACATGCTCTCACTGGGTGGGACACGTGCCTATAATTTTCTTTTATCCGATGATGTTGTTCCAGTTCCTAGTGGTCCTCCTCGCAAAGTCGAGGTAGAGGCTGTCAACTCCACGTCTGTTAAAGTCTCGTGGCGCTCACCGGTGCCCACTAAACAGCACGGCCAGATCCGAGGATACCAGGTGCACTACGTGAGGATGGAGAATGGTGAGCCCCAGGGCCAGCCCATGCTGAAGGACGTCATGCTGGCCGACGCACAGGTGAGCTCCCCGCGACCTCTGCTCCTGGGGGTGGGCGTGCGTCACTGTGCAAAATGACACAGCCCCAGTCTGATTAAAAGCATGTCACTGTGTTTAGGAACTACAGATACTCTGTTCTTTTCACTTCTTCCTGAAATTGCCTTTCTAAAAAAAAAAAAAAAAAAAAAAATTGACTTCACTTGGAGCCGATTCTTACATTGGGGTAACAGTTAAAATGCACAACTTCTAATCTAATCTCTCAAATAAAATATATAGTCAAAACTAAAAACAAATTGACTTATTCAATAGGAAAAGATTTCAGCTGTACATTTTTTGCTGATAGGATCTGCTTTCTCCTGTACTATAACTGTTTGGAATTAAATTAATTTTTAAATATATGACTTTTTGCTACTTAAGAACTGACATTCCTTTTCTATTTTTAAGCAGAGGAGGATATATATTTGTATTTTCTCAAAAAAAAAAAAAAACCTGACATTTTGATTCAGAAAAAGGGCACTTAGAAAGTATGCTATGTAGTATACTTTACCAAGGTGCATAGGCATCAGAAGCTGCTGTTTCAGGTCCCAGAAAAAGGAAATAATCTCAGTGACAACAGAAGTTCAAGTTGCCTGCAGAAGAAGTGGGCCCCTCTGTGCTGAGCCAAGTTAGGAAATGTCGTGGCAAATAGTTGAGTACCTGGCAGATTCTTCTGGTATCAGTGCTGCGTTGCATAATCATAATTTCACAACTTGGTATTGTGACCATGTTTTAAAATAAGTCATTGAAAGTATTCAGTGTTTCTTCCTAAATTAAAGGTGATTCAAAGATAATCACATAAAATACTTGCATTCCACATATTTTCCTATAAGGAAAAGAAAGATTTGAAGTGATGACACCATGATGGGAACTACCTGTCAGCTGTGAAGTAGCTTCCCTCTCGGGCCTCAGAGGGTACTAGGGTGCTGGGAATATCCAGGTGCTTTGCTTAGTCAGCGAATTGATGGTAGGGCAGGCAAAGGGATGGGGTGGTGGATGTGTCCTCACTTCCCTGTGCAAGTGGGAGAGGCTGTGAGGAAGGTTAAGCTACACCTACAGTGGCCCAATTTTGTGTTCTTCTTTTTCTTTTCTGAAAATATGAGGACAATACATATCCCTGGGAATCTAAGAAAAGAATTTAGCTTGAAAATATACATAATCTTACACTGCTTCAGTTCTGAAACCTAACTACACGCATCTAGGATTGTAGATCATTTGTCCATCCTGAGTCCAGCTGTGTGTTAGAAGGCCGCTTCTGTACATGCAGGCAGAATCCTGGTGTCCCCCTGATATGAGCAAAGGACCCTCACTATAATTTGTAGATGTCTTTATTTTGCATTAATTTATAAAATAGTTCACATACATTTTCTATACCTATTGTTACTATGTTTTACTTTGGCAGGGTGCAATTATGAAAAAGAAAATAATGTGGCCAACTTCTTATCCTTCCTTGGTTCTATAAATTCTTTCATTGCAAACTTTCCTTATTAATGGCTTTTGACTGTATTTAATTTCATTTTTATCTTTTTTTTATTTCTCTTCTACTTTGGCTTTTCGTAATTGCTGGTTTTCCTATTTTTCCCTTCCCATCTCATTTGTTCTCTTTGATATTCATTGAAACACGCTACAGAGCATAAGTCTTCATTGGGATTCTATAGGTTCAATAAAATGAAACCTATTAAGCTACATAGTAACTTGAAGTATATAACACAGGAAATAAGTCAAAATAAATATCATAAAATAGGATATGATTATAAGCATTAGCTTTGTTCTATACCTTCTTGATTTCTGTAGTTCTGTGAATCATACATTTATTTATATAAATGTGTAGATGTGGCTGGTTTTAGCAGCAGTAATAACACAACCTATTTAATTTTATGCCCCAGTTGTACACTTGTACATGAGGTTGGCTACATTGTAGCACACTTGCATTCTTTGGAGTTTTATTGCATCCACTGTTTCAGTTACTTAATTTTCCTTTTATTTAGCAAAAGAAGGCAAAGTTGTCTTTAGAAAGCAATACATTTCTCCTCATTTCTTCTCATTTTGTTTTCCCCCAACCTTCTTAATCTCAATCAGTGGGAATTTGATGATACTACTGAACATGTGAGTAATTTTTACCTGCTTTGTCAAACAGACAGACTCTAGACTATTCTTTTCTGATATCATTCTTCATAGTGTGCTTGAATTTGTCATTATAGTTGGCTTGAATGCATGAACTAACATACTTTTCTTTTAAGTTATCTTTATTTTTCATGTACTGTTTGTGTCGGTTTTTGTTTTGTGAAGTCAGCATGGTGCTGTGCATCGCATAAAAACCAGGGGCTCATGGTCTTCCTTTTGATCTCTGCTACTAACTTCCTGTGCCAGTCAGAGCAGGCATGCTTTGCATGGAGGCAGCACAAACTGGAGACATCAGGTTGTTGCATACGGGTTGCTCAGTGTCCTATAGCAGGTTAGATATTCAGTAGATAATGTGACATAGACCTGGCATTCATTTAACTCCCCCTAGAAATGGCTGCTCTTTTTTGTATTAATAAAGATTTGAATGAAAATAGATGGATCATGCTCAGATGCATCTCACTATGGAAGGAATTATTTGCAATATATTTGAATGGGTGGGTTGTGTTATTTATTGAAGGCCTGTGTAGATACTGCAGGAAATAAACATGCGCAACCTCTGCCTCTTAGTGTTTGCCATCTAGCTAGCCAGAAACATGTACCATTCTGAATAGTTCTATAAGATACAGTGGAAGACACAGCCTGCAGCCAGGTGTGATAGTACTTTAGGAAATGAGTGCCAATGTTAGTAAGAGCTGTGAATTCAGAAACAGTAGATCATGATGCTGAGGGAGACCCTAAAGCACACTTGCGACTTAAGGGGTGACAGGAGATGGGAGAGGTAAGAGGTAGAGAATGAGAATGAACGAGAGTGAGTGTGGGAGAGCTGAACACGGGCATGCACACTGATTTACACAGCAGCCGCCGTCATGGATGCAGTTGTGAGTGATCCAGCTGACCCTGACCTTGCCAATGTGATAACAAGGAAACCTTTGGGCTATCTATGACCACATCTAAGAAACAAAGTACAGTCAAATGTTGGCAAAATCCTAAAGCTAAAGGCCTGGGATCTTTAATTCTTCATTCCTGGGGAAATACGAAAAAATTACAATGAAAGACAAAATTTATAAAGAAGGTACGTTTTCATTCAGTGTATGAGTTTATTGCACAAGAAGTTTTTGAATGTTGGAAAATATCTATACAAAGTATACGTTCTCAGACTGAGTAGGTAGCAATGTTTATAAACTTTTGTCATGACAGTTAGTCACATCATACCTGACGCAAACAGAGTAAAGGAAAAGTGGTTTACTTGGGCTCATCCTTTCAGAGAAGCATTCCCTGGCCAGCTGACTCCATTGGCTTTAGGCTTTGGTGGAAGCAGAAGCCTCATGGCAGACAGACCTGGCAGAGGGAAGGTGCTGCCGTCATGGCAGAGCAGAGGCAGAGAGACAATGACAGAGAAAGGAAGGTGCTGGGAAGAAGACGCGTCCCTAAAGCCATTCCTGCATGACCCATTCCCTTCATCCCCGCACCACATTGTCTGTGTCCCACTCATAAGGCCATGTGAGAGCCCTCAAGCTCAAAGCCCTTACCAAGGGCCCTTTAGTGATCAGTACTTCACAAGGTACATTGTGGGGCATGGTTTGGATCCCAAACATAGCAGCGACTCGCACTAAGAAATGCATTGTACACATGTGCCTCACTGAAATGCAGGTTCTAGAAAAGCGTACTTTAAACACATACTGAATTCCGAAAGTTTTGTATTCCAATCTACTCTACCTTTCTCTTTGGGAGGGGGGGTCTTTTTTTTATTTTAATGCTGGTCTTGACTAAGATTGTTTCATTTCTTGACCTACTAAATGGGATCATTCCCTGCTGTTTAGGAAACATTGACTGAGTGGATAAGTTAAGAGTTAAAAGTTAATAAAAAGCAAAAGGGTTCTTTTAATAACTTAGTGATGAAGTGATCAAAAATGAACAAAGTTGAGGTGACAGAAGGGAAAAAGGAAGAGTTACGACCAGTATGTTAGAGGAAGATTTGACAAAAGCTTGATGATTAAGAATCAGGAAGAGGTCAGAGATAGTACATAAACATCGTAAGTGTGTGAACATACATTAAGCTCTGAGGAAGGGGGTCTGCATCTGGGGAAGATTTTTAAGTTTGTTACGCTGAATTTAACACTGGGCTAATCATAGGGAAATGTTCAGCAGACTTTTAAAATATTTGTGCCACTTTAGCTCAGCAGAAAAATAGGGGATGGAGATAAATTTGGGATATAGTCAGAAAGAATTATTCTAGGTTTCAGCATTTAAACAGATTTTCCAGAACTGGATAGAATTACAGCACACCAGTGCTGCAACAGGACTTCAGCAAGGTCAGCTTTTAATAGTCAGGGATAAGACTGGTGGCACGGGAGGAAGAGAGAAGGACATGAGCAACAGTGGCCATTGTAGTAAATGAACTTCCTCACCGAGGGTCTTGAGGCCACAAAGGAAACACACACACACACACACACACACACACACACACACCCTTAAAGAAGGAAACCCTAAATCTGGAGGTGATACGATCTTGACAGACAAATGTGTCCCGTGGAGATTGTCCCATTGGAAAGGATTTGCTATCTTCGAATTGTGGAACCTGTGGTGTTCTGTACCAACCCGAGCCTGGTTGCATAAATGAGAAGCTTCCTGGTGGCCCAGATGGCATGTGTTTAATACCTACACCTCGGTAGTAAAATCAAGCCTTACTTCTTGTGAGTTGTAGCTTGGCTGCTCTTCAGCAGTGATCTAGGGGGACCACCAAAGGTGGCCTTTCCCTAGCACAATTGTTTTGAACAACCAGTGTGTCTACCCTAATTTAGAACACTGCTATGAAATAGCTTACTTGGTTTTGATGTCCTCTGAAATGCAAGTGAGACCATTTCAAGGTCCTGAAAATGAAATATTTTCTACAAATAGTCCATTCTTCTGACAGAGAAAAAAAATCTCCCGTGGGTCTTCAGGATGATCCTGAAATGCTTCAATTTCCACAGTGGTGATATTTCTACTCTTTTGAAAAAGCACCTTGTCAAAAGCTGTCATATTTGAGAGCAGCATCACCAATTGAGTTTGATAGTGCCTATTAACAGCCTTACTAAGAAAAATCCTGCTCTAGTCCACACGATCTACTCTGTTCACTTAACACTGACACTGTCTTTAGATTTGGAATACAGAGACATTGTATATTTTCTTAAATTTACCCATATTCAATTTTTAAAACATAACTATGCCAGAAACCCTAAGTGATATATCGCTTGTGTATGGCTGTGTCTGTATGTCTGTTGTGCAACTCTGAAGAAAATGCTAGAACAAGTCTATAGCTCCTAGTGTCGAGAGAATCGTGTAGGCCCTGATTTGAAGGAATAGGTTCAAAGATCAACTGGCCATCATTTGGGCTTTAGTAAAAGAAAATGAAGAGATTTTGTATGTAGCTAATGAGATTTAACACATTCTAGTCAGTTTTCACTACAGATTAGTGCTAAGCTTCTGTAGGACTCAGGTTCTGCTGTGTTCTTGCTCTTATTTCCACTCCCGAGGTTACCAGAAAAGTTTCTCTTCAGTGTGTAAAGACTGTGTGCCTTATCTGTACAGCGAACTCACAATGAGTTACTGGAGCCCTGAGAAAATCCTCAGGCTCTCAGCACATCTAGGTCTAACAGATCAACCATCCGGCACACTGCTTACCTGGTGGCAGGACAGATTGTTCTTGCATCTGCAGTATCACCGGTCCGTGGGCTGACTGCAGTAGGTGTACAAGAAAAGATGTTGGCACGAAGTCACAGCAAGTTTATGAAATGCTAGCTTTGAGGCATAGTTCTAGGGATTACCCAGTAGAACTCATTTCATTTCCCAATGAGCTCTGGAAACCTATTATTAGTTCAACTTGCATTGGGAAGTGCAGGTACATAGGGGTAAGCTCCCTTGAGCTGGGCACCAAGCTACATGGATAAGGCAGGTTTTCATTCAAGAATTGAGGAAGCTTAGCTCTACATTCTGGGTTCTTTAACTAATATCTCCCCCAAGCTGCTTCTTATGATACCTGAAGACCCAACTTCAATGTCAGCATGCAAAAAAGCCCCACAGCATGAGCTTCAAGCATGAAATCTCTATGTTTCCCAGGCCTAGCTGCAGAGGGTATCTGAGCATGCCCAGAATGAAGGTGGATGGTCTAGTCTTATCCAGGGCATTGGTGGCCTTTTTGACTCAGCATGACCTTCCTGTGTCATTTCAGGACATGATCATTTCTGGGCTACAGCCTGAAACCTCCTACTCCCTCACTGTCACAGCCTACACCACCAAAGGAGACGGAGCTCGCAGCAAACCCAAACTGGTGTCCACCACTGGGGCAGGTAATTGTGTCTGTCTGTATGTGAGCCTTGAACTAAATGCTACTAACTTTCCAAATGGTAGGAGTGAATTCTGTTATTCTTTTATTGTGATAAAATCAGAGGAAAAAAGTGCATTGTGGTCAACTTTTGTGATTTTTTCCTAGTTCAGGAGAAAAATATGAGTATGTATTTCTCTGAAATAGTCAGTTAATCAGAAAATACTTTTTTCAATACCTACCATGTGTCTGGCCCCATTGCCATAAAAATAATGAACTCTCATGCAGTTCATTTTATGCCCTAGTTTATGTAGTCAACAAACAAATTCATATACAATAAATGGTCAAAGTATGATAAGATGAAAAATGGAGGCACCTATGCATAGTAGGCATCAGAAAGCCTGTACCAGCTGGGATCTCAGTGAAGAAGGTATGAAGCTGAGAGTGAGATGTGAGGGAACTCTCAACACGAAGGTCCAGGCTGAAGCATGTCGCCTGTGAAGGCGCGCAGCAACTTCAGCCTCCTCACAAGCAACACTTTCTTAGAAGAGCTGCCACCTTGGATTCATTGCTAGCTTTGCTTTATTTTTGTCATTTTGTCTTTGTTCCCTTCTGCTTTAAGGATTCTAAAGAAGGGAAATTGAACAAAAGTTAGGAAACAGGAAAGGAAATGAAGAACTTGGAGAAAGCTAGCTAATACAAAATTGCTCCTTTCTGAAGCACAAAGCCTCTGAAATGTTCTTTAGATTTACTGTTTGGCCACATTAGGAAAAGCCAGCATGAACGGAGCTCTAGCATTGTAAAACTGATAAATCAAGAGATAATTACAAAGGGACTCTCCTCCAGCGCCTCGCTAGAGCCAGCTCCTGCAGAACATTGAAGCTGTGATTTGATTTACTATTCCAGACTCACTTCTCACACAACTTTTTAGGAACACACCTCGATGAAAGGCATAAAGCAAAGAACAGCTGTGATGCCGAGTACCCTCCTGGGTGCTGTGCTCACTGCCAAATTTGTCTAAATGTCATAAGATTTGCCTCGCTTGCATCCTGCCACCTGGAACTGCCTCAAGCAGCAGGATTACAGATGGCAAATTTCCTTCAAGGCAGGGTCTTATGGTGTGTGTGTGTGTGTGTGTGTGTGTGTGTGCACGCACGTGTGTGCATGCGGGCACTTGCACTTCTAAAGAATGTGGTAGAATCAAACTAATTTGGCCTCATTAGGAAATCCCTGTTCAGTGAGGGGCATGATGGGAAATGCCCAGTGTTGGGCTCCTAAAACTGTTACCTAAAATTGAGGAAAACAGGTTTCTTTCATCTACTTTCATAACTGGACACAATGTCTTCTACAAAGCACCAGACTCCTATTTTTATGGCGATCATGGAATGTGGAGGGGAAACCTGAGAATTTATAGCAAAGATACCTGAATCACTGGATGAGGAACAATTTTATCAAATTTAGTGTTAATTAATTTAGTGTTAACTTAAACTAGCTTATTACACTTTAGTCACAATGCAGAATATTTCTAAGAAATGTGCATTTCAGTCATCAATCAAATTCTGGCAGAATGTTAATTCTCAGTTTCAGGTCTTTCTTAATCAATAGAGCCTTGGGTTGTGGTGAAGGCATTTCTGAGGCTGGAATGAAAGTAAGACCATCAGATGTGATCATCCCTTCAAGAGAAAAGCTCCAATTTCCCCTAGTGACAACCTCTCTACTGTCAGCACTCTCTAGTCACGGTTCGCCCATATGCAATTAGTGAACGTAGTAATTTGTTTTATTCTTCAGGCTATCATAAAAACATCCTCAGATAGTTGTGCAGCTGAAAACTCAAGAATCCTCATGAAATTTTACTTTGACACGACAAATTCTGATTAACACATGGACATTTTTTTCTAGAATCTATACCCAATCATATCCCAAAAGTTCTGATCATAATTTAAGTAATCTGTAAGATTTATGTAACCTGAGGGATGCTTTTGAATGCAGCATTGGCTTTTATGCTTCAGTGATTCTGACATGTTTGTAGCTTCTCTGTTAATACTTCCATTGTTCTGTATTGTGATAATTAGTCTACTGCCTGAGGCCTTGGTGCGTATGGTAACCAAGAAATTGGTACTTTGACATTTACTCTATACTTCACATGAATTTCAGCCCCATAACAAACAGCTGTATTTAAGGATGATCAAAAGATGGCAGTGGTGTGGAGAATTTCAGATAGCAGGGTTGGGCCAGTCAGTGTTTGCTGTTGCTTTGTATTTGGTTGGATTGATGTTAACCTGAGAAGCCATTGCAGCTGAGGTCCTTGGTTGCCCTCTGGAGATTATTATTAAGAAGTAGGGCTAATTGCGTATGTATACCATTTCTGAAATCCTAAAAGACTTTATGGGGGAAGGATAGAATACAAGAAAAAGAAAAACTAAGGAGTTCCATCCTCTCCATAGCAAACATGAAATAAAAATACTCCAAATGGAGGAGAATTTCTATGCCACATTATAAATTAGTGTGAGCTTATTTACTTTGCAGCTGGATCCTTTCTGTTTCTCCATCGTGTTTATTAAGGCTCTGCTAAAACTGACGGCTAAGCTCATTTGAGTATTTATTTCAAAGTCTTCATCTTGTCAACCCTCATGCATCAGTACAGAATGAGGCAGAGCCATTAGTTCAGTGGTTAGTGTGGCTTTCAAATTAGCCCCTGTGATAACCTTAGGGCATCAGAAACCTTGAGCAAGACTGTGTACAGCACCTCAGTGTTCCACCTCTTCACGCTCTTAACTCAAGAAATAGATGTATTAGATGGCACAGGCCCCCGTATGTGCGTCTTAGCTATCCCACTCAAATGTCTCTGGCACAGTATAAGACAATGTGGAAGAAGAATAGTTAGTAAGTATTTCATGCATACAGCTTCTGGAAGCCCCCAGTGGAATGGTTCTGTTGTGGTTACATGAATTGCTGGAGAATCCTAATGAAACATGCATGAAATGCTGTAGACTTCTCTGAATTTCTTCTCTTCTCTTCTCTTCTCTTCTCTTCTCTTCTCTTCTCTTCTCTTCTCTTCTCTTCTCTTCTCTTCTCTCCTCTCCTCTCCTCTCCTCTCCCCTCCCCTCCCCTCCCCTCCCCTCCCCTCGCCTCGCCTCTCCTCTCTTCTCTTCCCCTTCCTTCCTTTCTTCCTTCCTTCCTTCTTTCTTTCTTTTTCTTTCTATTCTTACTTGTTCCCTGGGTAAGACAGCACAGCTCCTCAGAGCCTGCACATTTAAGCTGCATGTGTATTTCCGTTATTCATACAGTTCTGGAAATTTAAGGCATCTCTTTGCATGGCCAGTCCCTCATGAGTTGATGTTGGAAATCCCCCATCTGCCTACTTCAGCCTTCAGTTCTTCTCTAAACCTTCCACTCTTGCTGCCTGGTGCTTACAGGCTGGTCATCTGTCCATTTCAGACTCAGTTAGACTTCTTTGTAAAGAAGGGGTGCTGGCAGCGGGGAAGAGAATGAAACCTTCCTGGCACTGCCGTGAAGCTGGCAAGTCTGAGCTGATGCTGTGACTTCTTGGACAGCACCTATTCTCAGGATGGCGTCAGCTGTCCTTTCCGTCCCAGAGTGTGAAGGTGCACGCCAGCGCTGAAAGCAGTGTCGACCACTCCACCCTAATTGTGACTTTCACAGAAGAACCAACGAGCAGTTTCAGTTTGCTTTTTTCCTTAAATTTTCTGTCAATTACAGTTCTCTAGATTTATACCTTACTAATACTGTATTCTGAAATGAAATAGCAAAAAATAGTATCATAACTAACAAATGTTTTAATATAATTTATATTTATGGGTTTTATCAGTATATTAAAAGTGCTTCTAGTTACCCTAGATTTCTGTGCATTTTGGAGAGGGAAGATGTACAGTGTGCATGCTATTATGCAGCTTCTTGGAGCTGGAACTTTGTAAAACTTAAACGTTTAATAAAGTTCATGTCTCCATTGAATGTGAGGCTTAGTTCCATGTTTACTCTAGAGTGTCAGGTGAATTTCATTCTTGAAGCTATTTTCTGCCCACTGCCCCATTTGACCATAGGTTTTTCTTATCACTATTTCATTCTTACCACATCACTCATTGTTATGGGCATGTGACATAAATGCTGTCCATACATAGAAATTAATGGAGTTTGTTAATGTCTACTAAAAGTGCTATATAAAACTAAAATGATAGTTAATATATTCAAAATAAAATATGAACCAAATTTGAAAAGAAAGACAAAGTAACTTCTCTAAAATGGCATATGGGTTACATAAAAAAAATGAAAATAAATGAAATAATTCAAGTACAATCCAACTTATGAATGGTCGACACTGTATGGATTCTCTAGTTGATTGTTAAGGTGTCTAGCTGTCTTTTTCCCTGAGATAATGTGAATATGTAATAGTTTGGTTTCTAGGTCAATCTTCACTACCTCTCTGCATAATTGCCGCTGCAAACTTCGGGACCTGGTTTCCCTTGCATTGCAGCTTAGCTGAGTTACTCAGTCTTAGCAGGAATCATAGGCTTACTAGGAATGTTTCTAGCATGTGAACCAGAACTATTACCCCATTGGTTAAGGATAGGAAGTATCTTAAAGAATGTGTTGGTAGGGGCCTGGCTAAATAGTCAGCAGATTAAAGTGCCTACTTAGGCAGACACAGGGGCCAGAGGTTCGATCCCTGGGCCTGATGTGCTGGCTCTGCCCCTGGGGTGAGCTGAGATGGCAAATAAGACTGGGAGTGGTGGTGCGTGCCTGTAATCCCAGCTCTTGGGAGGCTCAGAACAGGTGGCTCACTACGAGTCCAATCTTCATAGCGAGACCCTGTAGACCCTGTACTAAATACAAAAAAAGAAAAAAGAAAAAGAATGTGTTGGTAGGCAAAGCACATCTCCTTGTGGGCTACAAGTTTCTGACATATAATGCACAGAAAGATAAGAAATCCCTGATAGTAACTTTGTATGTCTTGCCTCTTCACGTGTCCAGGTTTTTAAAAAATTCTTTTTTTTCCACCTTTTGTACTATTTTTCTGTCTTCTTTTGATGAGTTTCATTTCTTTTTGGTTACAGTTATGTTTTCTTATCTTTCCCAATCTTAAGACAGTTCCTGAAGAAAATCCTGATTTTTGTTGCTGTCTTTCTCTATGTACTCTAGGAATAATGTACTCTCTTTTAAAAATTTCTGTATTAAAGTGACATGACTTTAAAATAAATAAATAGTTATGGTACTAGTTCCTCACCATAAAATGGTTACCACTGTATTCTTTTTAGTGATAGTTATGATTAATCCTAGCAGACTGCAGAGAACATTATTTTACAATCTTGTTTTCTTAATTTGTATACAAAATGATGTGGAGTTTGTGTTGTGGCTGTCAGAGCTAGATTTGGTTTGTGGTATTCTCGCTTGAGGAACTCCCATCTCTCAATGACTGAAATGTGGGCACGTGTACTGGCTGTTCTCACCACCTTCTCCCGTGTGCTCCAGTTCCAGGGAAACCCCGGCTTGTGATTAACCACACTCAAATGAATACTGCTCTCATTCAGTGGCACCCTCCTGTGGACACATTCGGACCCCTTCAGGGCTATCGGCTAAAATTTGGCCGCAAGGATATGGAGCCGCTCACGACTCTAGAGTTCTCTGAAAAGGAAGACCATTTCACAGCTACGGACATCCACAAAGGAGCATCCTATGTCTTCAGGCTCTCGGCCAGAAACAAAGTGGGCTTCGGGGAGGAGATGGTGAAGGAAATTTCTGTTCCAGAAGAAGTTCCAACTGGGTTTCCTCAGAACCTCCACTCGGAAGGGTCTACTTCAAGCTCCGTCCAGTTGTCATGGCAGCCACCTGTCCTGGCAGAGCGAAATGGCATTATCACCAAGTATACCCTTCTATATAGGGATATCAACGCCCCCCTCCTTCCAATGGAGCAACTGATTGTTCCAGCTGATACCTCTATGACACTCACTGGCTTAAAACCAGATACCACTTATGATGTAAAAGTACGTGCTCACACGAGCAAAGGGCCCGGGCCATATAGTCCCAGTGTCCAGTTCAGGACACTTCCTGTGGATCAAGGTAGGATTTGTCTACTTGTGGCCTTCCTCCTTTAAAGGAATATCAGTCTTTGGAAATCAGTATTTTCAAGCTATAAATAACTGATCGGCCCATTCCTATTAATAGATTCAGCAAAAGTGGAAAGGTAAAGTATCTAAAACTTAATACATTTTGGATGCATTAGATTTCACTTATAGAATGCCAAGCAAGTCTGGCCGACAGCATCCCCATGTTGTCAGGTAAGAAAAGCACAATGTAGTTGGCTGAATTGGAGAGGAAGGAGAGCCCTGTGAGAGTGGGCGGTAGAGTCATTGCTCGGCACAGGTAGGCCAATCATACTTCACTGTGCGCAATGTAGGCAGTGTCTAGAGTAAGCACCATGATCCGTGGTGAGAAGGACAGGTCCCATGTCTTTAGGAATAGTTTAAATACACTGTTTTTCCTTTTCCAGCAGTGTTTGCAAAAAATTTTCATGTCAAAGCAGTTATGAAGACTTCAGTGTTACTGTCTTGGGAGATTCCAGAGAATTATAACTCTGCCATGCCTTTCAAAGTAAGTTGCTTTATATCATGGGTAAAAAGTGGAAGGGGTGTTTCATCAGGGTAAGTTCTTTGTAAAGCTTGGAGACTGCTTTGATGTGAGCGTCTACTTGCTGCTTGCATTTGTGACTTTCGTGGAGAAGACTTGAGTTTGGTTCTTTGGCTGCTGGAGTTTTCCACCCTGACAGCAGCAAGAGCTGTACCCCGGGGCTGATGTGACCTTTAGGAGATCTGGTGTTCTGAACATGCATGTTTTACATCAACCCTGGTGCTTTGCTGCCGGAACATGAAGTTCACCCAGTTACCACTTGTTATAAAAACTCAGGATTCTTGGAGGCTTTTTAAAATTTGTATATTAGTCTGAATTGTTGGCTCTTTATAACTCTGCTTTACCATTGCTACATATAGAGAAAAAATAGCAAGACATATATGTTTGTGAAAGAGGGTGTACAAATGTATTTTGGAATATAGAATATAGTTAGAATATGATTGAAACCTTTAAAGGAAATAGCATAGATAGTGTGTGGAAAAGTTTGTGAGAATTTGTGTACACATTTCCACTTACATAGCATACAGCGTACAGTCAAACACTGAAGAGTTAGTGAATTTTTCTATGCTGTGTATGTTTGACAGTAGCATATCATTCATATCATTATACTGTGATAATTTATAAGAAAATTGATGAAATCTCAATCTTGAATACTTAAGGGCTCAGGAATTAACACCTAGAATTAGAATTCACCTGGCCTGTATTTCCCAGTATCAAGTCAGTATTCACTTAGACAGTACACTTAGCCTCCAAGGTAACCCAAGTTTTCTGATGGGTTGTGTGTCTCTAGATTCTTTACGATGATGGGAAAATGGTGGAAGAAGTGGATGGCCGTGCCACCCAGAAGTTAATTGTCAACCTAAAGCCGGAGAAGTCCTATTCGTTTGTGCTAACAAATCGTGGGAATAGTGCGGGTGGGCTGCAGCACAGGGTGACAGCCAAGACCGCTCCCGATGTGCTCCGCACCAAGCCTGCCTTCATCGGGAAGACCAACCTGGATGGCATGATCACAGTGCAGCTGCCGGAAGTTCCTGCCAATGAGAATATAAAGTAAGTTGACAGGAGGGCACGAGAGACCGGAAAAAGTTGTGTGTAAATAGGAACAGTTTTGGCCACTCTTGCTGTCATTGAGAAAACTAAACAAGAATGGAATATCAATGCATTTTTATACCTACAAAACATTGACTTGTTTATTCGTTCTGCAGATTGAAGAATATTATTAAAGTTTATGGCCAGCTCAGCCTACCCTGGGAGTGGGGTTGCCATAGCATGTGGTGCCAGGGATTGAACCGCAGTCCCTGCACATTTGCCTAAGCTTGCCTAAGCAGGTGCTTTAGACTGCTGAGCTATCTCGCCGACCCAGCAAGAGAAAGGTGTTTATATTTTTCCTGCCAGTTTATTGAAGTATAATTGATCTGTGAAATGTTGAACATCATTAACATATAGAACCCGTGGGTTTGGTGATGAGCATTTACCCCTGAAAGTATCGTGAAGGCCATGCACGTAACAAATGCTTGCTGCTAATCAGCCTCCGCAGGGGTCAGGCAGTGTTTCCGGGCTCCATGCAGAGAAGGTGGTCTCTCTCCTTGCACTTACACAGTAGAGTTATTTGAAGGATTTGGACATGTGTCAGTCACAGTAGAGTTCTGTGATAGAGAAGACAGACTAGGAAAGGGAGGCCATGGGTGCAGTTCTTAACCCAGGCTAAGTATTGGGCCTAGAGAGCCTCGAGAAATGACATCTAAATTGGGCTTGAGAAAGGAGTGTGGCAATGGGGTGTGAGACAGAGAGTATCACAGAAACAAGAGCAGGACGGGTGCGAGTTCCTTACTGCGCATCCTGCTCGTTGTAAGGCTCTCCAGCTAGTGCAACAGATGGTGTTCTGTACATAACTATAGCTCCCGTGCTCTATGTGTAAATAGATGATGGAGAAAAGCGCCTGCCTTCTAAGAGGAGAGCAGACCCAGAAAACATGTTGGGTGACCATGATGGGTGACTGCCTCCAGAGACAGCAGAAAGTAAAGAGGGAGTCGAGGCCAAGTGCAGGTGTCAGGAGAGGCACCCTGAAGAACTGGGTGGCTGATCCAAGTCTTGAAGGATGAGAAGATTTAGGAAATGTGAGAACATAGTAAATAATGAAAAACTAAGAAAAAGGACATGGACTATAAATTCAGTGCTTTCAAAACTGCTGCCTGTTGAAGAACAGACAGTTGAAAGCTGAAAATAGTGTATTCACTGGCCTTCCCGTTCATCTAGCTTTCTTGGTGTTAGGTACACAGTGAGCTGGAGAAGCTAATGCCCAAATGATCCTGTGAAGTACCGGAACCCTTACGGGCAATTGGTATTTTTAATCCATTGGTGATAGAGTTTAGTTCCATGTGAACTTCTGAATGAACTGAAAAATTCCAAAATATATTCTTTTAGGTTTTTTTTAAATACCGTTTGGTTTTTCCTGCTTATGTATGAATGTTAATTAGCCTATATTGGAGACAGGATTCAGAGAAAGGGAGTAAAACTGTGGCTACAAAGACAAGAGATAATTACAAAATAGAAAAAAGCAAACTATCAAAGCAAAAAAAAATGTATTTTCTAGAAATTAACTTAAGATTTCCAAAAGGATGTCAAACCTTCTAGCAAGACAAAAAAGACTTGGGCTGGGGAGATGGCTCAGTAGAATAAGCGCTTCCCTGGCAAGCACAAGGGCCTGAGTTCAATCCCTGGTTCCGCGCAAAAAAAAAAAAAAAAAAAAAAACAAACTTGAGTGGGACAAGCATCAGCATCAGAGTGAATGAAAAGTGCAGCATTATTAAAAATGCATGTGTATTTTATAATAACATATTAATATAAAAATATATGCCTAAGTTATATTGCCTTGGCTTCTTCAAAGGGCAGCAGCACGTTGACATCACATCCTTGGGTTGCCTTATTTGCCAAGACGGAGCATTACAAGGAGCTTTGCGCTGTCATGTGCCACTTGCCATGAGTAGAGCGTTCTGAGATTAGCCGCCTTGTGTTCTGTATTCTGCGGAAGAAGCGAGGGCAGGCAACAGCCCTCAGGCCCAGATGGGGCAGGTCGCTAGCTTATGTACATCCAGAAAAAATAGTTCCTGTTTGTTTCTCAGCGATACTTAATTTGGGCTCTGGAAGACTGTTTCATTACTAACAGAAACACACTTGTGTCATCTGCCCCCAAGTTAATTGAGAGAACGTGATTCGTACCCTCCCTCTAAATCTTTCCCACTTAAAATAAAATGGCCTCTAGAAGTGTAATGAAGACCTGGCTCATTGCTCTTGAATTCTTTTTTATAAATTTTGCTTTGGTTTAATTAATTTTTTTATTTTCATATTAATTTTTTCTTTCAATGTTATTTTTTATTTATACATGATCACATTCATCATGGAGCATTTGTACTTGTATATAACACATCTTAATTCTGTTTTTGTCCTCGTCACTTTCCTGGAAACCATAATCTTAAGTGAAATAAATCAGATACACAAGTTTAAATATCACATTGTCTTGTTTGAGAAACCCAAAGGAGAAAAGTAGAAGATGGATACTAGGAAGTAGGAGGAACTTTAGAAGTCATCTCACACAGCAGTTCATGGCTCTGCTTGTCCCGCTCCATGTCCTTAGTTCTTCTGTGGAGATAAGGGCTGACAGCGGAGGGCTGTGGAGGAGCGTGTGCGGCCTCCGCTTGGCTTTGGCACTTGGCTTTGGCTTAGTGAACCCTTGGGCTTGAGCCATCTCATCTCTCTTTATCCTTTCTCTTTCTGAGGTCCTCCTACGAGTTCTGGGAGAACCACACAGAAAAGGAGAAACAAAGAGCAATGAGACAGTTTCAAAACTGATTAGTAGGTCAGTTTCAACAGTTAATACGCTGCATATTGTTGTCTTCGTAGTGGTTTGTCATAGTACAAGAATTCTTTATATTTGCTTCTTGTATTCTGTGGTGTAGAGAAGCGGGGATCACCCCCCAAGAAAGGGTAAATTCTTCCTGAAATAATTGTAAGCTCAGGGCAGTGTCTGTACCAGGAATTCTAGGTGCTTTAATATTATTGTTTTCACAGAGTTAGGGGACAGAATGCTGGTCATAAAATGCAGCAAAATTTCAGAGGTGAGTGGTGGTGACAGAGCTTCTCTGGCTTTGTAGAGCAGAATTTTGTTCTAGGTGGAAACAAAAAACATATCATACACTATGGATTATAAGCAAAGCTCCCAGAAGGTACCCGGTATAAATTGTGGCCATAGGAATAATTTTATGCTTAGGAAAAAGGGAAACAGAGGAGAGTATTTTATGAACTTTTAAATTCCATTGCTTATATTAATTTGACTTTTGGGAATCTACTTTTACTTCTTTTTGAAGAAGGTATTTGTGGGACTATGGCTCGCAATGTGGCTTTGCAGAATTTGTGTACTGCTATTCACAGATTAGTGAAGAAAAATTCACATCTGTCAAAATATTAAAAGTATATAGCATGTTACAATTATGAGGATTTTGGAGGACTTCACTTAGACCTCATAATAACCCAAGAGGTGGTAACTCTTGCTTGCTTGCTTGCTTTCTAATGTATTTGGTTGTAGCAGAGTCTCACTCCACAGCTCAATCTCATTGTGTTCCTCTTGTTTTCAGCCTCCCCAGCACTGGGATTAGAGGCATGCACCACTATGTCCTGGTGGCAAAGCTGGTGTGGCATGTGGTGCCAGGTATCAAACCACAGTCCCTGCACTTGCCTAAGCTTGCCTAAGCAGGTACTTTAGTCTGCTGAACTATCTCACTGGCCTTGTTGTAACTCTTTCTAATGACTGTTGATACAGTGAGGCCCAGAGATACCAGGAGCCTTGGCAAGACCGTGTAGTTGATATCAATAATAGTTAATACTGGTAGAAGTCCTACTAGATGCTGTTTAAATGTCATGCCACTCATCACCAGATTCCGTCCTGAGAAGAGCCTCTTCCTCACAGTGTAGCTCATTGTGAGATAGCCTGTTTGCTTTAGACAAACAGTATCAGGATCAAAAAGAACTTGAAGGGCTGGCCAGATAGCTCAGTGGACTAAAGCACCTCCTTAGGCAAGCACTAGGGGACTGGGGTTTGATCCCCATGCTGTGCCAGCCACGCCCCTGGGGTGCGCTGAGATGGCGAATGAGACTGGGCATGGTGGCACACGCCTGAAATCCCAGCTCTTGGGAGGCTGAAAACAGGAGGATCACTATGAGTCCAATCTGTGTAGTGAGAACTGGTAGACCCTGTACTAAATACATTAAAAAAATTAAGAAGGACTTGGAGGGCCGGGAAGATGGCTCAGTGGAATAAGCGCTTCCCTGGCAAGCTCAAGGGCCTGAGTTCAATCCCCAGATCTGAAAAAACAAAAAAGAAGGACTTGAATCCAGGCACTCTGGCTCCAGGGTTCACACCCTGACTCACAGCTGGCCTCTGTTACTCTAGATTTATAGTCAAATCCAGATCCTCCACCACACCCCTTATAAGATACTTGCTCAGCAGTTAAGCGCCCCCTCAGAAGTAGCCATAGTCAGGGCTGCGTAGATGACCTGCATGGGCAGATCAGTGCTTCATGACATCACTGAGCCAACTGCTAGGTCGCCATGAGAGGGGAGAGAAAGGGGAACACACTGCCACCCCACTTTCGCACAAAAGAGGAAAATACATCTGAAAACAGCAGCTCTTTGGCTGATAGTGCACAGCTAGCAAGAACCAATGCGTTTAATTTAAATACAGACACTGGAAAGATCACTTAACCTGCTATGGTTTTTCTATTATGAATTAATTTGATTTCAACAATGTATACCTAGATGACCATAGGAGGAAAAAGTGTGCAAGGATTGGTATTCATCTTTAAAGGCTGAGACAGATTTTGACCTCTCAGCTAAATAATGAGTTGAACACAAAGACAGACTTCTAATACAAAAAGCCTGGCTGAATGTGAAGTGGGACTGCTGCTGAAACCAGAGCTTGCCTCCTCATATAATTATATGGAGCAAGGCCCCTTGAGGATAACATATTAAATGAAATTAGTAAAACTTTACTTAAT